GTTCGTAGAGTTCAATTTTTCTAAAAATGAAATAATACAAAATAGATATCATTAGATGAAATATTTAAAAAATCTAATTATTTTCTCAAATATTAAATATTTTAACACGATTTAATATCATATTGATACTTTTAACACATTAATGATAATCATATATTTTAAAATCCCAAGATTCTTGTGTAAAAACAAGATCATGCAACATTTGGAATGTAAGGTACAAGGGACTGGCTATTATATATCTAAAATAATATGCTCATATATAGAAAGCTTCAGTAATATCCTAAGAATACGAGGTAATAAAATAGTAAAATATCTTATTAAAATAAAAATAATATTTTTGTAATCGTCATAGATTGTGCTTACAATACTAATTGCACAATCTTCATGCTTCTTATTATTCTTCGGATATATTACTGCAGCCTTGGATCGAATAAATAAATAAAAAATCACATAAAAATTGAAAAATAAACACAAAAACTGCCCAGTGCAAAGGTTACACATAAATTGTGTTTATCTTTCGATGTGATCCACAATATATTTACCATCCTCCTCCTGTTTCCTCTTTTCTTCCTTTTGTCAGCGTGGCTTCCACATCAAGAACCGAGATCCTCAAAAATACTAAGGAAATCCTGTTCGTTATAAACAAATGGGGGATATTTAGAGCTCGATTTAAGTCGTGCCGCCTCCTCTTCTTCCTGTTGCCGCTTTCTAGTTGCCAGTATCTCGTAGTACATTTGATGTAGAATGAATATCTATTCCAGTTCTAACACAAATATGCATATTATTAATAATTTTTGTAAAAGTTTAATTTATAATCTATTTTTTCACATTAAAATATAAAAAAATATAATATAAAAATTTATACATATATTTATATAATATATCTGAAATATTTATTTTGATGAAAGTTATTAAAATATAATTATGTAATTTACGTGCTTTTTTATACATCAAATATTTTAATCATCATACTTGTATAAGTCTAATCAGATTGATCTTTTTCTTAGTTTCTGGATGCATGTCACTCAATATTAGTTCTATAGCTGCCGTTTCTGGTACTGTTCTGAAACCCCTCAGAAAATTCACAGTTTGACAGGGTAATCCTCGTGATATATCCATCATGTGAAATAAGAACCCCAATTCGCAGAAAAGACAGAATTCTCCTTGGTACGAATGTGAGAGCAATACTACATATTCTTATAGGCTCACAGTAGTAGAGTAACTGTAAAGTATGAATATATGCGCCTGACACTTGGTCTATTTATTCCTTGATTTATGTGGATCTCTATCATTTTGTCAAATTGCCTTTACTTGAAGCATAGCATTGAAATAACTATTAGGCGACCTCCAGATCGCAAAAGCAGGTTCGATTATATTGGTCAAAATCAAAAAACGTAACCCGTAACACGGACCGTAAAGCTACGGGTTACCGAAAATCCACAAAATCGATTGTCCATTGCGAATTATAGTGTCTTTATTATGTAGCCCGTTATATAATCTTTCGAACTACATCCATAATATACTTGCTAATTCGATTAAGAAACCGAGATCGTTTGTTAAGGATGGTTGGTCCTTTGTCGAGAATATTAAGAACAAGGTAATTACTGATGACGAAGTACTAATGTCATTAGACGTTGGAAAAAGCGTTGGATGGACATTTCAACCAATACGAAATTCAATCTTTCCCAATTTTTATATGTGATTGAGTTCATATTAGACTCTACTAGTTTTGTTTTTAATGGACAGTATTACGAACAGATTTTTGGCAGTCCTCCGCTCTCACTCATATTAGCGGATATCGTAATGGATGATCTAGAGACTGATTGCCTAGAAAGATTGAGTTTCAAAACCTCGTTGTTTTACAGATACGTGGATGATATTTTCACAATTATCCCATGCGAGGGTGTTGATGAAATCTTGTCGGTTTTTAATGATTACTATCCTAGATTAAAATTTACTCATGAAATTGAAAGTGACGACTCGATTAATTTTTTGAACACTACTGTGATCAGAAGAAATGGTATTCTATTAACTAATTGGTTTATGAAACCCACTTGTTCGGGTAGATATATTAATTATTATAAGAGTTTTAACAAGGCTCTGTAATATAAATATAAATTTAACGTATAAGACGGGCAACAAGAGCCAAATCGCGGATGACAATGCGTTATCCTAACGAAACTAAATAATTTTTCGTTAGAATTAAATACCGGTGCACAAGGCACCAAATTTTATTTCATATTTAAAATCTTGGCCGTGTCCAAGTAAAAATTTGGTGCCTTGTGCACCGGTATTTAATTCTAACGAAAAATTATTTAGTTTCGTTAGGATAACGCATTGTCATCCGCGATTTGGCTCTTGTTGCCCGTCTTATACGTTAAATTTATATTAATTATTATTCAAACCATCTCTTTAAATACAAAAAGAATACCATTTTTAGTCTGGTCGATCATGCAATTTTATTATCGGACGACAGTTTTCATCAAGTAAACATCGCTAAAGTAAAATCGATACTGATGAACAATGGTTTTCCGTCGAATGTGGTTAATAAGTTTGTAAAAAATAGGCTAAGATTACTTGAGACACGAAATAACGACGATCGTAATGTTGACAACGATAATTTAGTTAGTGAAAAATTTGACCGCATTATAAAATTACCGTACGTCAAAGAACTAAGTGAAGACGTTTCGAGATTATTACAATCTATGAGCATGCAAAGCGTTTATTGTATACCGAAAAAATTGAATACACTAATTAAACGTGTCAAAGATCCTTTACCTTTAAAAGAAAAAACAGGAGTAGTATACAAAATTAATTGCGCAAATTGTTCATCCTCATCATACATCGGTCAAACTAAACGACAATTAGGCACACGTATAAAAGAACATTTCAATAACATTAAGGTACACAATAATAATTATTCAGTCATTAGTAATCATAAATTGAATAATGGTCATGATTTTGATTGGTCCGCTCCTGAAATTTTACATCATGAGAAATATGTACGAAAACGAGAAATCGCGGAGATGTTTTTATCAAAAATTTGACAACACAATCAATTTACAAAAAGACACAGATAATCTAAATATTGTTTACGAAAAACTAATAAAGGTCGTTTAGTTTGATCAAAGTAATGAGTATATAAAGAACTTGAAACCGACACAATAATATAGTTAATTGTTTCACATTATATCTTGTCACATTCTAAGATCAAAAATTAAATTTTTTATAAAAAAAAGTTATGTTTTAGGTAGATTTACATATTATTGTGTGGAAATATTTATTGTTTTATTACAGTTACTTTGTTACTTTTTAATTTTTTAATTTTCTAATAATTGTCATTATTATATATTGTAGCACTTGATAAGGGCCGAAACCCATGGCCGAAACGTCGTGAATATTAAATAAAGATCACTTAAATTGCCAGAGTTGGTTGATTAAATTACTACCATTTTTTAATTATCATCTGGTGACTTCATAGTTTTTTACATCTTTAATTTTAAATGATGCGCTGAAGAAGGTTGAAAAAGGCAACCGAAACGTTCGTTTCTTTCTGTCTAATATTTTATGTTATAAATCTTTTTCCACAAATAAATATTAATGAAAGAACTTAATTAGCTCTTATTGCCTTTTATATGTTTATTATAATTTCATATATATAATTAATATATATAATATAAATTGTTAAATAATTTTAAAGTATAGAAAAAAATGTTATTTTCTGATTTTAGAATTTACTTCTAAAATTTATTTAAAGAATAATTGCTAACTTGGAAAATATATTAAATTGTTCCGGAACATTGGTAGACAGATGTATAGAACTTGCTGAATCTCCAAAGCAGAGATATACTGAGATGTGGAAGCTACATCAAATGATAATGTTGCCGCTCCACCAGTAGCAACCTAATATATGATATTTTTATACATGTTAATATTTTTTTAAATTTATTCTTTGTATTTTTTCCTCAAATAGCACATTGATGTATTGATAAGTCAGTGCTATCTTGGGATATAATGACAATATAACTACAATGTAATATATGTAATATTAAAAATGTTACATCTATGAGTGAGAAATTACAACTAACATATACGTTACATGTAACATGTTTAAGTATATAACATTTATATACTGTGTTTGCAGGGCTAATATACAATAATTTAAGTACTCGAAATAAGTGATTAAATACTCGAAATAAGTGATAAATTGGCGTTACTAGTGATAAATTTCTATAAGGGATGAACGTTCGAAAGCAAACAAATGTCAGCAAAGGGCAAAACAAAGGACGTGAAGGAGGGACAAAAGTTGCGAGCGAAAAAAAATTCGCGAGATCAGAAATTGCAGTTCTCTCCCCCCAGACAAAATCTGCGAGGAATACGACGTCCTCCGGCGCCTTTTGTTCGGCACGTAGATTAAAAGAGAGCGAGCAACGCGCGGGAACACATATAGCGATACAAAAGAATACTCTCTTCAGGCTGTATCATTGCGAAACATCGAGGCGTCAGAGCGACACGAGAATCGGCGTTCCGACACACGGTTATCGGTCCTTTATCACAGCATACCACACGCGCGCACGCACACACACTCTCTCTCTCTCTCTCTCTTTCACGCAACAGAGGAATACGCACCCGCACGCACGTTAGTCGCTTTGGCAACTGTGCAACAAGCAAAACCTGCGCGCTTCATTAAACGCCTGTCAAACCGGGAACGACTGCGTCATAACACGCGCTTTCCTCGCACGCCGGAAAAGAACTGGTTGTACGCCGCGATCGTGATTTAATTTACGATCGCGCTTTTTGTGCACGTTCCTTGACAAGAACTACTTGATACATATGACACACGGTGCATTATCTGTCTCATATTTTTTATTATTAGTGATAAAATTACAGCATTATGTTTTCTTTTAAATTGAAAAGTTTATAAATATAAAAAATTTCATAATTTTATAGATAATTAATATTTCGAATTCCGTTACTCTTGTCATCTTTTGCACACAATATTTATTAGCAATTTATATATTAAGCAGCATTTTTCTTTTTCATATCCTCTAAACTCTTTCTAACAATATTTTCCCATTGGACGGGTTGATTTTCTGAATACCACCCGATTATTGTGTCCATCATTTCCTTTTGCTTTTCAGTACATCTTTTACATTGTGTTTGAAGAGCTTCGCCAGCAACATCTGAAATCAAAACAGAAAAAGGTGTGTGTGAGAGAGAGAGAGAGAGAGAGAGAGAGAGAGAGAGAGAAAGAGCAATTTATTTTAATTTATAGTATATAAATATTAAATTCTCTTGTTTCTAATTAATAATTATGTAATAGATGACTAATATTGTTAATAAACACTATAGAGATATTTTGATATATTATACAATAACTTTGAATATAAGATTCACTATACAGAGCCAAACGCGGATGTATGTACGCAAAGTTATTGTTTATTAGAGCCGTATAGTTTCGTTGTTATTTTGATATTATATTCGTCAAGGAAAATAATTGTTTCCATAAATTAACCAAAAAATCTATTGTAAAAAAATATTATAATACTCTGTATGTATATATTGATATACCTCTAAAAAATTTTGCATCTGATGTGATACATGGTCCAGTGTCCATATAACAATTATAATATTGGAGCCGCAGTTTTTCATTACTGAGGATATTCTTTACGTCGATGTCATCGTACTGATCGGTATAAAGCTCTTCTGCGAGAACGCACAACAATGCAATACCAATGAGCGACACGATGCAGTTTAGCCGAATCATTTTTCGTTTACACTATCTCGTGAAAAAGATACTGAATGATCGATTCGTATGTACATTCTATTTATACAGATCGATCAAAACAAAAAATTGTTGAAATTATGTGCAAGATAATGATAGTGCATTAATAAGCCAATTTAATTTAATTGCGGTTGCGTGTCTTTAATGTAAATATTAAAAAAAAACTTAGCAGTATATATATGTTATGTAATTACTATTCTTCGGAAAACGACATAATTTTTTCATTGAAATACAAACAACAGAGACTGTACTTAAAGAAACTATATAAAAACATTCTATTTTGCATTACAATTTAACATGTGCATGCACATGAAAAAAATGTTGAATCAATTAAACGTAGACGTCACGGACTGCCACAAACATATATGCAGTTGATTCGTCAATATTTCAAATTTTTCAATATTTTAATTTATAAAACAAAAGCGTGACGTCTTGATTTGATAATAATAATGTCATAGAATTAACAAAATAAAATTTAAATATTTTGATATTGTCTTTGTTAATTGATTAGTCGCTAGTAAGAGAATTAAATTAAATTAAAATAAAATTTAACTGCATCGATGTTGTTAACTCAACAGTATTTTTTTCCCATTCTATAATATTCTTAATAAATTCTTTCTGTATAATCAGCTAAAATTTGTATGCAAATATAGAAACAACCCGCATAATATTTTATATTTCACATACACAGCAGATACATAATAAAATTTGAAATGTTGCTACATAGCAGATGCATATAGCAATATACATATAAATTATATATTAGATACATGTTTAATACCGATAAATATCCGCGTTAAGATACTTAATTTACGTTACATATCTGAGACATATGATAATATGTATTCGATACGTGAAAAATACGTAAATTTTATGTATTTAAGATTATAATTATATTAAATTTTAATTCGCACATATACTAAATATCCTAAAATTACAAATAAATTATACTAAAATCATAAATAAATTACTAAAGTATTAATAAATAATTAATTTTTAATTAATTTATAAAATATTATGAATAATTTTTTCTAAATTATTTGAATACAATTTGAATTTGAACTAGATATAAGAATAGTAAAATAAAATTAAGTGATGTATTATGATAAAAGAGTACATATAAAATAGTGATTATTTTTATTCACTTTATAGTTATATTACTATAATTTTTTACTATTTTTAATTATTATAATTAAAATTTCGCTCATAAATCGGTATTATTCTCTCGATTTTTATATCTAAAAATATATGAAATATGTGTATAATAGTTATAAAAAATGTCATGAGGTCGCCTCTATATAAAAAATTTATGATAAATAAGGAAAAAAATATATAATATGTATATATTTGATTCTTTTATCAGAAAAATATCGCGCTACTTTGCTTTTTGTTTTCTGTCTTTAAAGTTTTAAATTTTATTTTACATTTCAAAAAGAGCAAATTTAAAATGACAAATGGGATTTTGAAAAGCAATAATTATTTTGTATTTACAACATGAGTATCAAGATGTTCTATTTTTCTGTGACTAATGTCAATCTATGGTTTTTTAATTTGGAAGTTAAGATGAGAGTTATATTATAAGTTTCTTGAATTTCGGTTATATTGTTTGAAGAAGTGTTATATGTAATAAAAATTTTAATAATAGAAATCGCGAGACCTAGGACATATTAGAGGAGAATTGACTTAATACGGATCACATCGTACTGGCTTAACCAACGTTTCACTATGTTTTAACTAATTATGACTGAAGAGACGCAAGTAAGCGTCGAAACGTCTCATTGTATCATTGTAAAGTAGATTTATACGATTTGATGTAAAGTTTGGAAATATATATGTTCGACATCAATTCACATAGCTCGTAATAGGCTCACGTTGTTTTATTATCTCTATTTTAATAATTATTTTAATATACTTTATTGTGAGATGATGAAATTCTAAGTCACGATATCTTGATTAGCTATACGCCGGATGTTATATAAGTTAAACATGCTGTAACAATTAAACCTTATTAATTTGTTTTTCTTTTTTTTTATAGCGAAAGAATTTACAGATTTTTTAAAATTTTAAGTTTCAATGTAAACCTATTGATTTTATTAATATTACACAATATCTATACTGAATTTACAATATTCCATTAAACTGTTAATTATATGATAATGATTGTATATTACATAATAATAAGATAATACGATAATAAGAGATAATGAGAGAGGAAAATATAAATACTGTCATCAAGATATGAAACAAAACATCGCTTATAGCTTATATTGATTGATATAATAATTTCATAGAAATCAATTAGAAATGTGTCAATTCTAATAAAAATATTCTTATTTGGAAATTATGTCTTATCTTTTCAAATTATATCTCTTTTTATTATTTATACAAAGATCTTCATTTTTTATACAAAGTACATTTTTTTATATAAGTACAATATATATTTAAAGCTATAATATTTTAAGGCTCAGCAGAGAAATGACAAGTTAATTGCATTGAAAACTATAGAATCTTTTAATTCCAAAAGAAAACTAAAATTTACTTTTACGTCGAGTATAACAAATTTTTTCTAATATATATTAAATATACAAGTAATAATTAAATATATATAATTTATAATATACAAATATTCTAAAAATATTAAATATTTTAAGATGTGACTTAAGTTAATATTTAGATATTGTTTTGAGAATTACAGCAACATCCGATGTATTATATTTTGTCATTATTTTGTATACACATAACGTGCATTTCGAATCTACAGAAATCTACAGAAATAACGTGATTTTGTTATCAATCCATTTTAATATTACCAAGGATTAAAGCTTTTAAATTAAAACACGTAAATAAAAATAAAATGAAATAAAACAAAAAATAATTAAATTTAAATAAATGATATAAATAGATTTTGTTATTACATATTATTCATAATTTGTTTATTGTCACATTTGTATTATACACAACTGTATTATTAAGTAGGTTACAGAGAGAAAATACTAAATCATAAAAATGTAAATATAGTAATAAGAACTTAGTATAAAAATATAATTAGCCATTTAATGCATAAATCAAACGCTAAAAAAAGTACTTTTTTAGAAAATTTAGCACCCACAAAATGTATACATTTTTATAAGTTTTTATATAATGTATATTATGAATTTTCATTTAATGTATTATACATTTAAATTATAAAAATTTAATATGTTTATATGCATATCCCATACAGCAAAGAATTTTCTATGAATGTGCTATAAACATTATATAAATATCCTAATATTCCATGGGTCATTCAAAATATTCTATAGAAGTTCTATGAATATTTCATGGAATTTTGTCAATTCGGAATGTGTATATAATATTCCTGAAATATTCTAACAAATGTAGTATATTTAGAAAATGCGTGGAATGTTTTATAAATATTCTGATAAATATAGAATATTTAGAATATTTATAGAACATTCTGCAAATATTTTTAAAATATTTATAGTATGTGCTATGAATATTTGGAAAAATTTTTTAGAACTTGCTATGAATATTTTGATAATATTCTACTAACATTCCGATGAACATAAATATTCAGAATATAAATGGAATATTTTTTAGATATTAATGGAATATTGCTGGAACATTCTAGACACATTTTAGAAAAATATAGAAAACCTTCTGAATGTTCTATAAATATTTGAAGAATATTCTTGGAACATTCTATTAATATTGTGGAAAACAATAAAGTTTCTACAATATTAATAGAATGTTCCAAGAATATTCATCAAATATTTATAGAACAATCAGAAGGTTTTCTATATTTTTCTAAAATGTGTATAAAATGTTCCAGCAATATTTCATTAATATCTAAAAATATATTCTATTTATATTCTGAATATTCATGTTCATCGGAATGTTTGTATACTATGATATACATCAAAAATTAGCATATGTTTAGAAAATATCAAATAGTTAATACTATCAAATATTCATAGTAAATTTTAGAAAATTTTTCAAAATGTTTATAGCACATACTATAAATATTTTACAAATATTTGCAGAATGTTCTACGAATATTCTAAATATTCCACATTTATCAGAATATTTATAAAACATTCCACGCATTTTCCAAATGTACTACATTTATTAGAATATTTCGGGAATATTATATACACATTCCGAATTGACAAAATTCCATGAAATATTCATAGAACTTCTATAGAATATTCTGAATGACCCATGGAATATTAGGATACTTATTCAATGTTTATAGCACATTCACAGATAATTCTGTGCTGTATATATGCTGTATATAGAAATCAACATTAATATATAAAAATATTTAGAAGTAAATATAATTGTTTCAATGGAGTATCTATACACAGGCAAATATAATATATCTATACAGGCGAAAAAATGTCATTGGTCATTCGTAAAAATTTTCTGAAAGTTTTTCAATATTTAAGAAATTTTCTTTAAAGTTTTTATGCTTTATGAGAATAATTATTAATTATTAATATATCTTTTTTACTTCACTTTTAACTTTTCAAAATAAGTTGAATGGATATCAATCAGTTGAAATAGTTAAATGATATTATTTGTGCCCACCAAATTTTCTGCGCACATATATTGCTAGTTAATTGTTTTTACTGTTGCGCATGTGCGACTCAGTCTCGCGCGCATTCTGTCCAGCCATCGCGCCCATCGCGTGTCGCGTGTGCATCAAGAATCAAGAGCCGTACGTATATTGTTCAGTGAGCAAGTCTGAATGTGTTTCTGTCCCGTTTTGTTCTGATTTCCTCTTTGGGAGGCTAAGACTGCATAGGAATCTGCTACCACACCACTGTTTTGGTCAATATAAACAGGCTTTGAGCTTGCCAGTGTTAATAATCTCGAAGGAAGAAGGAAGGAAAGTATGTATAATCGTTCGTAAAAAATCTATTATCTACGTTAATTTTATGAGTACCAAGTAATTTTTAGAAATATGGTTTATTGTAGATAATTTCATGATAATTTTTAATATTTTTAGATATAAATTATAGATTTAAA